AACGGGAACGACGGGGACATTTGTAGTTAATATATGCATAATGCAGCTGCATCGCACGTGCGTGGGATCCATCCCTTACTCTTCCCCAGATCCTGGATGTAGATAAATTTTTCTAAACATGAAAGGCTTCCCATAAAGATGTCTTTAAAATGATCAGAAGGAGAAGAAAAGGCTTCCTGCAAGCAGATCTGTAGGCAAAATGCTTCTTTCTAATATCACGCCGTTTTATTAACACATACATTCAAAAATTTATAACTCTGCTTATAGTAAATCTGCAACAGAGTATCTTTTACACGACTGAGTTTTAAACGCTGGTAAAATCAGGAGTAATCAACTAATAACTAACGTTACTAATACCGTGTCAGTAATGTGCTCGGCAATTAGAGATACTCAAAATATTTCTAAGGCACAGGAAAAAAAATGCAGTCGAGGAGCCCGGCCAGCCGCAGACTGACTCAGCACGCTCTGATTTTCAGTACGGTTTTATTCAAAGAGCTTGTGCTTCGTCGCAGAAGGGTCAAAGATTTGTGAAACAGAGGCATAACTCGGCGTGACATCCCGCTGGAGCAGTTGTGCATAGCAATGATGCCAATATAAATTCGTTTTTATGGGCTAGACTTTTAATAGTGATGCAGAAATAAGGGGAAATGTAAAGTGGGAACCTGGAGAACCCTCGGTTCTCAGTTATCTCAGGTGCATTTCAGCAGAGGAATATGGCCAGGAATATGCCAGCATTGATGCTATTCTCCTCTAAAACCAGCCTATGAAGTGTTTAGGGTTCTCAGGCTTTAAAAATCATTATAAATTAAGTTACTTGGCAGAACAGGAGTTTGCTCAAGAAGAAGGGGACAGGCAAACGATGGAAAGCAGTGATTAAAGAAAGCTGCCAGATCTTCCCTTTGCAAAACTGTCATTAAGAAAATTCCTTTCTAGGCCAGCAATAAAGTTTTGACAATTAAAAATCAGGAATAAATGTTGCGTGGAGTCACTTTGGACAGAGGAAAATTTTCGTTATCCATCATGGGCTCTTCTCCGTTTCCCAACTGAAGATGTCTTTTCTGTTGCAGGCATCGCTCAACAAGCTGATGGAGACCCTTGGCCAAGCGGAACCTTATTTTGTCAAGTGCATTCGATCCAATGCCGAAAAGGTAAATCCCATCCTGTGAAAGCGGCGCTGCTAAAAATCATCTTGGAAATATTTTGGAAATGTTTACAGGGGGGGTTAAAAAGAAAAGAAAGCCCCAACTTGAGTTGGATTTAGAAGATATTTGTATATCTTCTAAATGGGAAGCATGGATGTTATCACTTGGGTGTTGCTCTTGATAAACTGCACTGGCTTTTCTTGTAATTGTAGAAACATGTATATGAAAAACATATGGGTTTAATTTATATGAAAAATGTATTGGTTTTAATAAATGAATTTGACTCCTTTCAAGCTCCTGCCAGCCATAATAGAGGTTTACAGAGCCATGAATTCACTTGTGCTGTTACTGAGTCCTAATACTTCTTTAAAATAAAGTTTCGATAGGTAAAAGCAGAGACTTTTAGAATAAGCCACATTATTAGAACTGACTCAGTAATGCATCATATTTTTTTAATTTGGCTTTAAGGATTGATTTGTCTCATGGGCTAAGGACTCTCAGTTTAAAATTAAGGCTGCAATAGTGGTGCTTTCTTGTGGATTAATCTTGTGGAAAATTTGGAGTTTCACCCAGTTATTTAAAGGTGAAACTTTATGCCTAGGAGATAATTTAGTTGCTCACAATCTTACCCGCTAGCTGTGCCCTTGGGGGGGTCTTATTCAATTCGGGGGCTCCAAAAAACCTTCTTTATAGCTTTATATATCTACTTCGCTGTTTGAAAGTCTCCATCTGATGGCTGCTTGGAAGCAAACAGGATTCAACCCTGGTGGGATTAGTACAGTTCCTGGGGACCCGCGTTCCCTCCCTCCCCTAGCATCGTTGCCAATGTGCATGTCATGCAGATGTGCTACATCTGCTGAATCCGTTTACCCATCCATGCGCTTAAAAGCTTCAGTTAAAGGAAATATTTGCTCATCGTTGGCCTGTTTTTCCCCTTCCAGCTGCCCCTGCGGTTCAACGACAGCCTGGTGCTCAGGCAGCTGCGGTACACGGGGATGCTGGAAACTGTTCGCATTCGCCAGTCAGGATACAGCTGCAAATACTCCTTCCAGGTTGGGCAAAACGTTTTCAGTCTTTCCCCACCTTTAGCATCATTATCAGAGTTGTCTGAATGTTGCTGGCTCGTTTTTTTCACAAGGTAATGAATTTATAGCTCATGCAAGGCAGTGGATGTAATGAGCTGCTGTCTGGCATGGAGTGGTCCTCTGCTGCGCTGCTGATTTCTAGCAAGCTGGTCTAGACCTAGGTGAAGGCTACGAGCCCCTCTGCAGATAACGTCATGGTTTTTGAATAAAAGCAGTATTTTTTTGTAACGTGGACTTCCTTTTTGCAAAAAAGGGTGTCCAGTCTGCACGCGCTCTTCTGCGTGTGTTTTGAAATCACCTGGGAATGGCATTCGCCCTGTCGTGTCGGTGCTGGCTGCATCCCATCGGGAGGGTGATTGGCATCCTCTAAACTGCTCAGGAGTTACCCAGCTTTTCCTGTTTTCTTCTTCGCCCTGTGTTTGCCAGGTTTTGTGCACGTGTCAGTCCTGTCGTGCTTTGCTGGTGCCGATTTGCTTCCTGCTGGCAGCTGCTTTGGGCCAGATGTCGTGTCCTGCACAGCAGCTGTTTAGAAAAGGAAAACTGCTCAATTTTTTTTTTTGCCGTGAGCATGGATCCCAACCTTACTTGGTAGGATCTCTCCTCTCGTACCTCCTCTGCTCTTTGAGTCCTCACAGCAGTAACCGATGGAGCATCTCAGAGATGCTTTGCAGATGCTGGTAACCCCCTTCCGTAGCAGCCCTCGCTGAGGATTTGGGGCATTTTTTGCTCGAGACCCCATGGGTTCCGCAGAACCTCTCCTCCCATGCTGAAAGACGTTTGAACGTTGCTGGGTCCCTACTTTGATGTGTTTCCTGTCAAACCACAAATGGTGGACAAAACTTGGTGTTCCCCAGTCCATAAAATGCTATCTGTCCTTCTGCTCACTCGATAGATCCCATTTCATGTGGCCAGTGAAAATCCGTTATTTATGGAAGAAAGGGACACAGCAGGACCCATCTAACCAAATCTTGGTGTTTCTTTTTTCCTTCTCAGGATTTTGTCAACCATTTCCATGTCCTTCTGCCACAAGGAATCAGCCCGTCTAAGCACAATATCCATGATTTCTTCCGGAAAATAAAACTCGATCCAGACAATTACCAAGTTGGAAGAACAATGGTAAATGTTTATCCTCAGCTCAGACTTATGTTTAAGATACAGATACAACATTTGCCTGCATTTCTGTGATGATAAATTAACATCTTTATATATGTTTTTAATGAATGAAACTATTTTTCTTCTGTTTGCCAGAAGCCAGTGGCTTAAATGAAGCTTTGAATGTTGTTAACAGAAAATAGTAAGGAACGTTGTTGTTTTGTGTTAACCAAGTCACAGGTCTGGTTGTAATGAGGCAGCCTTCAAAAAACTATGTCTGTGTGTAGACACAGCTCGATACGATAGCTATCATTTTGCCTCCCCTGAAGGGAGAGCAGAGGCTCTGTAACTCAGAGCTTGGACAGTCGCAGGCTGTAGATGAAACCTCAGAAACCTGTTAAAGGCGGCTTCGCTAAAAATCCTCTGCTGTGCTTTCTTCTGGGCATCCAGGACACAGAAACCAGGAGGATTAAATCATTTGTCATATGGTGGCGGGAGCTTTCCGTGCTAGTGTTTTTTGGGGTTTTTTGGGCAGGTTTTCGTGAAGGAGCGGGAGCGGCAGCTTCTGCAGGACCTGCTCCATCAGGAGGTGCTGCGCCGGATCACGCTGCTGCAGCGCTGGTTCCGCAGCATGCTCTGCAGGAGGCAGTTCCTGAGCTTAAGGCAAGCTGCAGTGATCATACAGGTAGGTGATGGTGCCTGATTTCGTTGCAAATTACAATCCACGAATCCTACAGGTACAGCTGATGGGTAGAATCAGGTCCCCTCTCCGAGGAAGGAGCTTACAGTCAGGATTTGACTCCTAGTGCCATAATAAGTTGGGAATGGGGGAGACAGAGCAGGAAAGGTTGCATGAAGGCAGGTGCTCTCCCATCCCTATGCAACACCCGTTACAAGGAACTGCCTGCTGTGTTTGCAGAGATTTTGGCGTCGTTACCAGAGCCGAAAGCAAGGCGAACCATCCCTGGACCCTTTCGTCCTCGGCAAAGCCGCCGTTGTTCTCCAGACCCACTGGCGTGGCTTTGTGGAGCGGCGGAGGTTCCTGCAGATGCAGTTTGCAGCCCACCTCATCCAGAGCTGCTGGCGGGAGTACACCAAGCGGCGGCACGACGCAGCCACCAGCATCCAGGCAGCCTGGCGAGGGCACCGTGCAAAGCAGTCCTACATGGCCAGCAGAAACAAAGTCATCTGCTTGCAAGCGGTGTGCAGAGGATATTTAGCACGACAAAGGTAACGCCGTTGGCCTCGGTTAAAAAAGAAAGTGTTAAGGGATGTGGTTGATGTGAATTCTGGCACTGCTCGGACTACAGTGACTTACAGAAAATGGTGTCCCTTCGTAGGATCCCTGACCTTGCCCCAGTCTTCCCAGATCCTTTGCTTGTCCACGCTTTCTAACAAAGGAATTTATTTAGCTGCAGGTCCTACTCTTAGACTAAGCAGAGCCTATTTCAGGTTGGAGCGTGTAGGCAGTGGAAAGCTGAGGCCATAAATACTCGTGAAGTTGTTTTTTTTTTTTCTCCTTGGCAGCGGCACCAGTTTAAGTAGCCTATTTTTAACTCAGATTGCCTCGCCGATCCGGTTGCTGCGCTGTCTCACAGGAACAGGAGATACTGGAGCCAGCTGCTGCAAAGGGGAGAGGGTTTCCAGCCATGCCGTGGCTTGCTGGCCGCGGGGCAGGTCTTGGTTCGTTCTCCAGAGGCGCTGCCTGCAAGGTGTGGAGCACCCTGACATAGGATGGAAGATTTGGGAGCTGCAAAGAGCTCCTGGCGTGGTGTGTGAGTCCCTGCTAGCCGTACCGGAGGCAGCCCGGGCAGGATGGTGAAGATGGAGAAGCCAAGGGGGTGCAATGGGTTAAGCTCTTCTGGCTCCGTCACTTGCAAACGAGCTAGGCCAGGGATGGAGGCTGGAGCTGCTGCCATCTGCGCGGGAGGAGCTTTCAGGTGCATTGGGACAATCCTTGAGTAGGAGAATTGGCATAAGAGGAGAAGATTGAAAACCAAACGTGCGCTCACATCGTCTTGCACCGGATGTGCAAAGAGGGTTGCTTGAGATGGTGATGGTGGTGAGGTGATGATGGTGGTGGTGATGAGATGCCACCGCTGCAGTGCCTTGAAGGGACATGAGTGGGCATGGGGGTTCGATATACTGGTTTTCTGTTTTCTTGCAGGTTTAGAGCTTTGAAAGAGCAGCGATTAAAAGAGATGCAGCTGGAGAACGGCCTGTCAGTTAGAGAAGAGGATGGACTGGAGGCAGATGATGCTTTGGAAATTAAGGGCTCCGACCCATCTAAGTGGGAGGACAGCTCATTTGAAAAGCGAGTGAGAGCTATAGGGGAACATATATCGCTGATGGAGAATAATCGGGTGAATCACGTGGACCCACTGGATACTTCTGCGAATTTATTGTACAAAAGGCACGAGAGAGCCAGCAGTCAGAGCGGGATGGACACCGAAGAGGAGGTCGTTGTTAGAGAGAGACCCAAGTCGCTGGAGGATCTCAACCAGAAAAAAGTGGTTCGTGCAAAAAGAGAAAACCGGAGGATGCGTGAACTGGAACAGGCAAAATTTAGCTTGGAGCTGCTTAAGGTTCGGTCCACCGGCGGGCTGTCACCTTCAGAAGAGCGGCGGTGGTCCACCGAGTTTGTATCTGAGGCACTTCATTCCCCTCAGGGAACCCCGGAGAGCGAAAGCTCTCAAGGGAGCTTTGAGATGTTAAGCTGTGAAGATACCCCAAGTAATAAATGCGTTTCCTTAGTTTTAGACGAGCAAGATGCGCAGTCATTTTCCACTGACTCTTTGCCTAGCAGCCCCCAGGCTCATCTGCAGGAGAAGTCTTTCTGTGCGGCAGATGTGAACAGCAACCTACCCGGTTGCAGAAGGATGCCTTCAGACTTGGAGCTACCTGATAACCTCACCGCAAAGGAGCGTGTGGTCTGCGACCCCCAGAATGTTATATACAAGGCTCACCTGAGAGAAACCTTCCTTTCCAGCAACCTACCTACTTTCTATGTTCCACCACAAGACAACGTGAACGTGAAGCTGGTGGAGAATAACCTGAGGAACAAAGCAATGGAAAGAGAGGAGAGGACAGTTACATTCTCTGAGGTCAGGAAGGACTCTGAGCCAGAGCAGGACAGAGCTTTGGGAGGGGAGAAAGAGAAGTCCTCTACCAAGAGAGAGGAACGTGGGACAGCAACTGCGACACAGGCCCATTCTCCAGACTCTGTCATCAAGAGACTTGAAAAGCTCAACGTGGAGAAGGAGGAACGGCAAAAGCAGCTTCAGCTGCAAAATGAGAGGGAGATGATGGAGCAGATCCGTCAGCAGAAGGAAATTCTGGAGAGACAGCGCAAAGCCTTCGAGCAGCAAGGGAGGGTGGAGGCTTTGCAGAGGGCTGAACAGAGCAGAATGAAGGACCCCTCCCTCAAACCAACCAAAAAACCAGACAGCCGTCCTCAATCAGTCCTCATCCTGCACCCCCAGAGCAGAGGGGAGCACGGCCCCACCACAGGTGTGACTCCAACCTCATCGGTGGACATCAAAGGTCTCACCGTTGGGACCAGGGGAAGCTCTCCAGCCCACAGTGCCCCCAAAGACAGACCTGTCAGCATGTTCGTGGAACGAAGAGAAGGTCAGTCGGGACCAGCGCTGGAACCCCGGTGCCATTCCAGACCGGCTCTGGACCCCAGGGACCTCCCAGGCAGCCACTTCTCGAGGACGGAGCGCCTCCGGCAGCCCCGAGTGCCCAACCAAGCCACCGAGGAGACGAGGGCAAGCGCTATGTTCTTCACGCCGAAAGACAATCCCTTCGGCCTCCAGTGAGTAAAAAGACAATGTGCTTTCTCCGTAGGTTTTCTCCATAGGCTTTTTGTTCTGCTAGAGACCATTTTATACGAACGGTCCAGAACATTGTTTCTGGAGACTGTACAAAACACCTAGCAAAACAAAGATGGGTTTCTTGATCTTCTAGCAGTGAGCGGGCAGAGATCAGAGGAAGAGGAAAAAGAGCTGGAAATATGATTTCTTGGTCTCTTATGTGATGGACCTTGTGTAAGCCAGGGGAGATAATCAGAGACATTAGCAGGTGAAGTGAATTAATAGACAGTCAACACTGTTTTCATGTACACTAGATGAACGGTGATAGGAGTTTATCTCTCAAGGTAAAAGATGAAGAAAAAATTCTTGGGATTTTTGGGTGATCAGAGTAGAAATGCATAGATAAGGCAGAAAATTGCAGGATTTTTCATGCTTACTGTAGAATTAACATAGCCAACAAAGCCATTTGGACGATCTTACCATTGCAGGTTAAAAAACAGCAACTGTCCGGAGGGAGGTTGGGATATGAACACACTTTTGACAGTGTATCGCTTACATATATAGTTACGCGTGTGATGGGCTTAGCAGTCGTTCAGCTCTGTCGCATTGCCTCCAAGCGTAGTAGTCTTGTGGTTTATGTGCTGTTGCAACGGGAGGAGATTCCCGTTTTGATTTGTGCAGATTGTTTAACTAAGTCCAGACACACATGATGGGGAAAAGGAGCAGTCAATAAAAAAATAGTCCTTTGCCCCCTGGTAGAGCCAGCAGCATCCCTCGCGCATGGGCATGGTGAGGGTTTTATTCAGAAGTGGTGGTGGTACGATTTTTTTAAAGAGTGAGCTGAGCAAAAAGCAATTTTAAATGGGCATATTTTTTAATGCTATGTTAGATGCAAAGCAAGGATGCTCTCCTTCCGAACCAGTTCGTATGAAAATCTGCAGGAGGTCCTGGAGAATTGGTTTGGAAGTGGGTATTTGAGAATAGTCTTCCCCCCAAAAAATTTCTTTCCATTTCTTTTCCTGGTTCATGCACAGAACAAGCAACAGGAAAAAAAACCTAAAAATTCCCTTGTTTTACTTTTTATTCTGCAGCAGAACAATCACATTTGAGAATCCAGAAGTGAAAAGGTACCATCCGTAACCACCGTGGTGGGTAGGGTTGGCAGGCAGAACTTCACATCTTCTTGGCCTTTGGTATTAACTCAAATCCTGAAGGATTCAAAGGAATTCCAAAACCCCATGACCTCAAATTTGCAATTTGGTCTTGATTGCTTGGATTGCGCGCTTGTGTGCTCCTGCGAGCCGGGCTGGCGCGGCGGGAAGGCTTTTAGGAGAAGATGAAACATCTCTGTTCTGTTGTGTTTCAGCAGGGAAGCAAGTCATCAATGCCATTCCAAGGGTGAGCTAGCTAGGAAGCCATTTAAGATGCCAGGGTCTGGCAGAGGAGAGGTAAGTTATGGCTTGCTTATTTTCTCTTTTACTTGAACGGGGGGGGAGGGAAAAAACCCTCATTCTGCCAGTTTTCCCTCAGAAGCTTCAAAGAAGTAAACTATAAAGCACAAGGGCTGCTAGACATAGGGAAGGGGGATATCACGGTACGGCAACCTTCACACCTTCTCTTAAAAATAAAAAGCCCCCGTAACATTAATTCATAGCAGCTCTGGATAAAAAGGATCTCGCGGTCCTGATGGCAAACACTGTCCAACGCAGTCTTGTCTTGGTTTGGTTTAACGTACGTTTGAGTAACATCCATGATTGTCCATTTCACCGTGCTGTCTTGGTTTTTGTTTTTCCTGGTCCTTTTTTTTTTTTTTTTTGCACTAGATAGAATATTGTGTCCCCTCCGTGGGGTGCAGTGTCACTCAGAGATGTCTTAAGGCCGTACTTGAGCTACGCTATGATGCCAAACATCGGTAGAATCTCCCTTTTATTTTAAAAACCTTTTTTGTTGTTGTTGTTTTATCATTTGGTCAAGCAGGTTCCCAGACCGACCCATAAAAAGAAAGCCCGCATGGCGCGGACGCGCTCCGATTTCTTGACTAGAGGTACTTTTGCTGATGGGGAGGGGGATACGGAGGAAGATGATTACGATGCCAATTTTGAGTTCCTTCTCTCCTCTGACCAACCTCCTCATCCCGAGGCGGTGCCTGCAGCCCGGCTGGGGCAGGCCTGTTACAGTGACTCCGAAATGGTAATTTTTTCCAACGTGGTGGGGGAAATGAAAAAAGGGAGCAAGCGGAGCTGCGGGAGCCTGTCTTTGCTAACCTTAGCTGCACTGATCCTTCCACCGCTTCTTCTCCCACTTCCAAGGATGCTGTAGATGGGTAAACTCGGCGAACACAGCAGAAACAGATGCGAAATGGGGAAATCATTTGTTTTTCTTGGCCATGGGGATATTTTCTGGCTTGATTCGATATCAGCTATGGTTTCCATAGCTTCACTGTAGCATTGCACACTTGTATTGCACAGCTACCTTTTTTTTTTTGTTTTTCAACCTCAATAGCAAAGTCCCCCGGGATCCTTTTGCTCTAAAAATGATCTACACAAATCCATAGAAAAGATCAAAGCAAACATTGTGCAAAAAGCAACAGACAACAAAGAAAGTTATATAAATCTTGCACCTCCTATTACTTTTGATTTTGTATCCTTAGCGACAGTATCGGATGATTATTCCGTCCTCAATTATTGGAGCAGACAGTGTCTTAGAGAAAGCCAAAACATGTAAATTGGGCAATAAAAATACAGTGAGAGTGAAATAGTGGGTTTTAAAGAAAAAAATAACAACCTTAGTGGCTTTTTCAAGCACAGAAACTGGTGTCCCTTGGCAGGGCCAGGGCTGCAGCTCCGTGCTACGTGAGCCTGTGCTGCAGGGCACTTGCATCTCAGGCTTAATCTCCCGCCCGGATAAGCTGCTTTCGGAAAATCACAAACCGAGAGGTTACAGGAGTGGAAGAGGCCAGTGGCTTCCAACCCACTCATATTTTTTTTCCTTAGGTGGTGGAGATGTTCCCATAGAAGTGTGGGTAAACACCAGGAATCGTCTCCTGCCGTAAGAGCTCAGGTGGAGCGTTGCAAAGAGCTGCCTTGCTCCTCTGCTCCAGCTACGGTGCTGGATGTGGAGCTGAGTATAAAACCGAACAAAAGCATGAAAACCAAAGTCAGTGATTTATTTTGTGCTACGGCATTGCTGTGGGTCCGGCAAACATCTCGTGCGATCCTGAAATCTGCTTTTCCAAGGAAGGCAGATGGTCAAGGGGGGCTTTTCATGACTTTTCTGTTAGCAGCTTTTATTATAAAGGATAATTTTTTCCCAGGATAATTTCCTCATGGGAAGGGGGCAGAGATTTACAAATTCCGTGAATTTTTAAGGTCGCTCTTGATAAATTTCCAGGGGTTTTGAGCCAGGAATACTCAAAACTTGATTGAAAGATGTGGCTCTATGAACTGAGCTCACTTGGCTGCGTCTTAGCACATCTCCCTGCTTGTAAATCAGGAAAGGGGGAATTTTATGTAGTAAAATGTAGTATTTTACATAGCCTGGTGAAAGCCCTGGGCGAGGGGCTGCACCGTACCCAGAGTGCCGTGCTGTGTTCTTGGAGGCTACCCTCTTACAAAGCGTTAGGGATTTTTTAGCTGTAGAAATCTGTCCTGCTGGGATGCGAAAGGCGCTTGGCAAGCTCCATCCTTGGGAAGGGACCTGGCTCGTCACACTCTTTAGAAATGCTCCTTGGGACTCTGCTCACCTGGTTTAACAGCTCTCACCGCATGCGAGTAGTAGTAGGTGCCAACTGTCGCTCATCTCTTGTATCCCTCTTCTCCTCTGCTCTCCGTCACTAGCTCTAACTGGTGGTCAGCACTTCCACCCCTTGTGCGGTTGAGTTCTGCTTTCTAGCAAACGCTACCCGTGAAGTCGTGTGCTCAGCGATACCCGACGTCTGTATGTCCTGACAACGCGTACAGTGTTTCCATCTGTATTCTGTATTGCAGGTTTGGGACCAGCCCTTTGGCTTGTGGCTTCTCTGGGTCAGGATTGCCACAAGTAGCAAAATTTAGGGACTGCTTATTCATATTTATTAGCAGAGCCCGGTTGGGTGCTGCAAGTGAAGCAGCCTATGACAGAGCAATACTGGTGCATGTTGGTTTGGGTACAAGCTCAAGTAGGTGGATGCTCATGTAGGCATATTCGTTGTGTCTCGTGATGTTCGCATGAAGACGAGTCAGGCAGCCGCCGTGTGCGGGCTGGTTTCTGTGCTAGTGAATAGCTTATTCATACAGCTGCAGCCCCCAGCTACGACTCTCCAAAAAAGCCTCTTTTAATGTGCTGCTCAGCGGCCAAGGGCTGCTGGATAGATGAAAGAGACATCACGTGCCACCTTGCCAAGTTGAGCATGTGACGGCTCGCCAGCTGCAGTGGCGTTGAACATGCCCGTTATGCCCATTGGTTTCTTGACCGTCAAGTCAATGATTGTGTATCACCAGCTGGTAAGTAGAGGTCCACCAGAAACCCATGCTCCTAGCCTAAGTCTGGGGTATCCCAGAGCAGCAAAGACCGAGAGCATCTTCAGCCAGAGCTGAAACCCAAGGTGCACCAATATATAAGGTGGCTGCTGAAGGTACAGTTGACTCCAAAGAGCCTTTAAGGCTAACGGGCTTCCTGACCAGACCAAGCCTTCAAAGGTTGCTTGTGCTTTTTGGCTAGTGATTAGCTGAGGATTAACCTGCCTTGTGGTGAGACAAGTGGGAGGAATAGCTCCTGGCTGTGGTCAACATATACGAATACCACTTCTGTTTTGCACCTAAGCCTGGAGAGCTTTCCTGCAGCAGATGAATAGAAAGCCTTGGTTATAGAAACCACACCAGAAGTATCTTCTGAATACATTCTCCTTCGGTAGAGGCTCTTAGAGAAAGGGTCTTGGATAATGAAGCAGCAATTTAGCTCCAACCTCCGTACTAAAGCCGCGAATTGACAAACATCAGTGCAAGTATCTGTCACCAGCGGATCCCAAGCATGCCTGAAGAGCCAGCAATGAAAGAAGTCTCTTGTCCTAAGCCATTCAGAGGGAGCAGTGCACTTTAGGAAGCTCCTCAGTGCAGCGTGTAGCACTGCTGCCTGCAGGGACAAGTCATCTCGCTTGGCCACAGTTATCTCTTCCTAGTGCCAGCAGGCGAAATACGGGTTGCTCTTTCAGAGGAAAAATATTTGGTCCCCTTTTCATCCAGGGGACAACTCCAGGCCCTCTGGCTAGTGCCGTTTGCCCGCCCGTGGTGCTTTGTGGAGTTCCCTGGCCGGGGATTTTCTGGTGCAGAGGCTTGTCTTGGCATCTGAGAAGGTTTCCCATCCAGAAGAGGACCTTGCCCATCACAGCTTCTTGGAGGAGTCCGTCAAACAGAAGGATCTCACACCAAAAATGCCTTTTAGTCCTTACTTTCAAAAGCTGGAGAGGTTGCTGTGATAGCAGAGGAAACCTGAACGACAGTAGGTCGGGAATTGGGGCAGAGCAGAGAGAGGTGGTGGTATTAATGGTAGAAAATCCTTCTTCCAGTTTTGTCTAAAAAGTGCATTACAGATGTTTTTGGCTCAAAGTCTTCTGCATGAGCCAGGGGTTTCACTTCCAAAATCTGTACGCCAGGTCTGCTTGTGGAGTAGATGTGATATATATTTAAAAAAGAAAGTGTCTGTGGTGTCCTGTAGAGCAACCCCTGCGTTGCCCCGGCCATCCCCTTAGCCTGCCTGCCACGGTCAGCACATACCGATGTGCTTTAAATGGCCTGGAAATAGGAAAAAAGGGAGTAAATGCCCCCACAGAATACTTTTTTTAAAAAAAAAACCAAAGCACTGGAAGTGATTAAGAGGTTGAAATTACTCAGTAACAAACCATATCATGGGGACAAATGTTTTAATAGGTCATTTGTAAAAGCAAGTAGTAAGTTTGGGCTGGATGAAAATCACTTTTATGGATTTTGAGGGTTATTTTCCCAGTATCCATCTGCAGTTTACGTGTGACCATCACCTAAATGTAAGAGTGACAGGAGCAAGAAACCCGTTGATGGTTTAGGCAGTTTCTTTCTTTCCCAGTGGCAATTTTGCCTTATGTGCTGCCATCTCCTGGCTGGTAGAAGGTTAGGTCGGGGGTGAAAAATAAGACATGCAAAGAGAGTAAACGTGGTAAATGTGACTCTCCTTCAGCCCATATTTTATATAATTTTATTTTAAATGTTTTTAATAGAAGGAAAGGAAATGCTTAAAAACACAATGCGTTCAGTTGAGACATTTAGGTGATGGGAAAGCTACAGGAGATATTTGACCATCATCTTCCGAATCCTTACATCCAACCCGATTCCCTGCTTTCCTCATGCCAAAAGTGTCTCCTCCAGGAGTCAAACTCCGAAATCACAGCTGCAATTGAAAAAAAAAGAACAAAAATTGCTATTTCTTTTTAAATACGGCAAGACTATTTCTGGGCTATTTCATGGAATCCTGCTAGGCTGAATTACTGCAAATTCATTTCACCTTTAAAAGTGATCGCAGGACATCTTAAATGGTGTCAAAAGTGGAGATCCTTTGTATGAAAGCTGCAAAATCTCTTATTCCTAAAGGCTTAATTTTAATGTGTCCTTGGCACAAAGACTTTGGACTTCTTTTCTGCAAAGTCCTCGACGAGAGCTGGAGGAGGAGGCTCTGCTGGGACATGTCCACGTGGTCGAGGGTTCCTTTGGTGCTAGGAACACCACAAATCACTTTGTCGTGGTTAACGATCGTGGCTAACGTGGCTGTTCTGGGATGGAGAGCTGGGCTGCCCAGCCCAAGGTGGTGGAGCGGTTGTGCAGGCTGAGTGATGAGGACCCGTGGCTTGGTGCACACTGATTTTCGTCACTGGTTGCTCAAGGAGAAAGAAGGTTGGACCTCAATGTAGAGTTGGAGCAAGAGAAATGCCTTTCTTTTTTAGGAGTTGTTAAAATATTTCTTTAGTTGTAAGTTGTAGCTAGCTCAACAGGACTGTAGGTTTTCATCTGTAGGCAGATAGAAATAAAGACATAACAGATGAAATATCTGATTTCTGCTAGGAAGAAAATAATCAGCTGGCATCCCAAGAGCTGTCTCATTTTTAAATGCTTCGTGCTTGGAATCATTACAGACGGTGCAGCGATTTGCCTCTGGGGAAGGCCAAACGAAACTGCACAAAACCATGTCTCAGGGGGAGATCGGGAAGCTGGCGGCCGCACAGAAGAGCCTGGCTCCAGATGGGAGGTAGGAAACGCAGCTGGAGATGGGAGATGAGTCCTTCTTGTGTCCTTCTTGGTTTCCAACACCTTGCTGAACCACCCCGGCTCCTTTGGAGCTCCACCAGCCAAAACCAGCACGGGAGTTACTCGCCCCATCTTTCCTGTGTGACTGTGGACATGCCCAATTAGAAGTGGCGTCCTCCTCATATCACGATAAAGTTTTGATGCCGTGTGCCAGATGTCCCATCCCAAACCACCCAATTGCATGCATGAAACTTTGCTTTCTTGCCTTTCCTGAGGACGTGTAGCCTGGCTTCCCTGATAGAAGTTGTGTGGGTTTCACTCCTCCTCAAACACCGTGAAGGTCTGGGATATTTGGGGTAGTTTTGGATAGAAGGACATTTTCCTAGTTAAGGCAGTTCCTCTTTCCACAAATTATTTCCAGGCCTCAGCGAGCCAAGATGAGGTTCTGGGTGAAGGGAAAGCAGGGGGAGAAGAAGACCCCCCGAGAGAAGCTTGCTACCCAGTCTGAGCTGCTGGAGCTGTACGCAGAGCAAGAAGCCCCCGGCAGGGAGGTGATGCCTGGCTTGCAGCTTGGCGAAGGTAAGTGGTAGGGTAGCATGCTGCCGGTGTTGTAAGGAGCAGAGAAATTGCGTTTGCTGTCATGGCAGAGGGAAAAGCTAGTTTGAATCTGGCTTTACGCTACAACCAAGCGTAGGCTTGGGGCTTGGGTAAAGATATAGAAGGGAGGAAGGTTGGCGTATCCATAGGGTTAGGGTATCTGTAAATGGGTGTATCATATATGATGGTGTGGTCTAGCTGAGGCTGCTGTGGGAAGATGGGTTGGGAAGCTGCACAAATTGAATCTCCACGCCGGTTTACGTCCCTTGAATTCATGGGCGGCGTCAACCCGAAACGATGGCAAGTAGGTTAGAGGATGGGATCCGAAATGGGACTCAAGGAATTCCATGTTGCTAATCCTCCAGGCAGCTGTCTGGACTTGGACAGATGTTTCCCCTCTTGACGGAGGAAATAACCAAAGGAGAAATGACATTTAATCTTCCTATGAGTACCACGCAGTGCCTTTCTACTCCGCAGGTTTATTCTGATGCCCATCTCCCTATTTTAGTGGCAGAACTTCGTGTTACCCTGCTGTGTTGCAGCTCTGGGAGATTACGCTTGATGCTTTTTACTTGTTGAGAGTTCATCAAGAGCCATAGATTTTTATTACTACCCAAGAAATAACTCTGCTTCTCTTCCAGGCCATAGGTGGAACTTTGGAAATAGCATTTGTTAACTAATCTGCTCTTCAGTCTCCTTCTCCCTTTTTAATTATCGCCCGTAGAGTTGGGTCCTCACCACCTGACCCCTCCTCGGAGTCCCGAGCTGTCTGGTATCTACCGTCGGGAGTTTAAGGAGAACAAGGAGCCCTCTCCCAAAGTGAAACGCAAGCGCAGCGTCAAGATCAGCAACGTGGCTCTGGAGCCGGTGCAGTGGCAGAATGACTCGCTGCAGATCATAACCAGCGCTAGCGACTTGAAGAGCATGGATGAGTTTCTCCTGAAAAAGGTAACTCCTGTCCTCACTGCTCCAGATAAATCATCAGAAAGCTCGAAGAGCAGACGGAGGCAACAAAGCCAAAATTATCCTGGGGGCAGCAGTAGCAATACTAATAATTTGTGTAAGGGTGCACAGCACGCACCAGGGCAGGCTTGGGAGAAAAGATGGGCACACTGTGCATGCACCATGCGGTCATTCTGCATGGGCCCAGCAGCTTCGGTACTTCCATTGCTTTGAGTTGCCCCTGGTGGCATCAGAAATGGGTGACCCAGGAGGGCAGGAGTTGAAGGCTGCGCGGAAGTGCTCATGTTTCTAGTTTGCATGCAGGTGAAACCACCTTGTAATCATTATTAACATCGTCTGCCAATGGTGGAGCAGCTGCTCGTTAGTGCTGCTTTGTCTCATGCGGTGCTCTGCCGCAGCAAAAGTGGCATGGATGCATAAACCCCCTTTGGTTTCCCAGATGAATGAACTGGATAACGAGGACAGCAAGAAGGACACGCTGGTGGATGTTGTGTTCAAGAAAGCGCTGAAGGAATTCCGACAAAACATCTTCAGTTTTTACTCCTCAGCGTTGGCAGTAAGTGACTGGATGACGGGTGAGAACTTCCACCTCCAGGAGAAACGAGATGCTCTGGATCCTCCTGGTGGTGGAAACGTTGCTGAGCCTTCCATTCCTGGTCTGCTCATCCCAAAGAATGGATGCTCTTCCTTTATATTCAGTTCCATGAGCTGTAAATTTGGACTAAACTCTTCCTCCTTGAGTGGAGATTTCTGGTCTCCTTGTTACAGCTTGCTCCCAGTCAAATGGGAGATGACAGTAAGTCAATAAACTCCTGTTTGCCACCATAGTGCCTGGAAACCTTTGAGTTAAATTTGTGAGTGAATCATAGAATCATAGAATCATAGAATCATTAAGGTTGGAAAAGACCTCTAAGATCATCAAGTCCAACCGTTAACCCAACACCACCATGCCCACTAAACCATGTCCCTAAGCGCCTCATCTACACGTCTTTTAAATACTTCCAGGGATGGCGACTCCACCACTTCCCTGGGCAGCCTGTTCCAAGGCCTGACCACTCTGTCAGTAAAGAAGTTTTTCCTAATGTCCAATCTAAACCTCCCTTGGCGCAACTTGAGGCCATTCCCTCTCGTCCTATCGCTTGTTACTTGGCAGAAGAGACCAACCCCCACCTCGCTACAACCTCCTTTCAGGTAGTTGTAGAGCGCGATGAGGTCTCCCCTCAGCCTTCTCTTCTCCAGGCTAAACAGCCCCAGTTCCCTCAGCCACTCCTCATAAGAGGAGTGGTGGACGTCTGAGCAATGTGGAGCTCTGCTCTTCTGCTACTTCTGAATCTGAGCAATGATCAGTGATCACAGTGATCAAAAAAAGCTATTTTATTGCCCAGATTTTACAAAAAGTTCCCTCTAAGACTTGAGCTGGCATTTAACATCCTCCTGCTCTGTGCACTGAGAAGCCAACCTGCCAGAGGTCACGAAACAACTCACTATTAGATGATCCTTTTTTCCTTCTTTTAATCATACTTGGACTTTCCCCGAGCATTTGGAAGCCGGTCAGGCTGAAATAATTGTCTGGAGCTGAATAGGCAATCTGGGGTGTATAAAAATCCCTTTTCTTTTTGCTTCTGTTTCCTTAAAAGATGGATGATGGGAAAAGTATCCGCTATAAGGACCTGTACGCCTTATTCGAGCAGATTCTGGAGAAGACCATGAGGCTTGAGCAGAGGGACTGGAGTGAGTCTCCAGTTAAAGTCTGGGTCAATACCTTCAAAGTCTTCCTGGATGAATATATGATAGAGTACAAACCCCTGGACTACACCGCAGTGAAGGTAGTCGGCACTTTTCTTAAGCCCCTTGAAGATTTGGGAACTGTCTGTGGGGTCATGCTCTCTGTAGACACATGGGAACCTCTGTTGTCTTCTCCTCTGCTTTAAGCTGAGGTGGACAACATAAGCTGGCACGCAAGGCATGATTCATTGGTTGTGTTTCATTGGGCTCAGCAAACCCCAGTTCACATCTGGGCTGAGCTGGGCCTTGGCCAATGCCAAGATGTAGATGTTGTCTCCGTGGCAAAGCTGCAGCCATCTGTGGATGGTTGAAAAGGCAGCTCCTGGTGCTTCCTTTTTAGTTTTTTGGGGGTTTTTCAATCTTTGAGGGAAAATGAAAGAAATAGATGCATTCCTCATCTCTTGACCTCTTCCCAGGTGACCACGTACTTGACCATCGGTTGGGTTGCAGGAGAAGGGGACACGGGCGGTGGCTGTCCTCGGGGCCTAGCTACAGTTTTTAAAGCAGTCAGAGCTTGCAGTGTGCCTTTCACAAACCTGAGGTCCTCGCTTTCTGCTCCTTACTGTCTGCGAGGACAACCACGGGGTCTCAGGCTGAGCTTGGAAGATGCTGTTTATTGTACAAACAATCCATCTTCTGGCTCTTCTGCTCTGAGTCCTCCCCAGGCTTCTCTCCAGGCAGGTTTTCTTCTGAGCAGGCTGAGCATCAGCTCTGGCTGCAGTGCTGTGCCACGTCCTCCTTGGGTGTCTTGCATGAGATGGGAGAGTTTTAGGTCACTAATGCTGGACTTGGAGGCAGACCAGCTAATCCCAACTCTGAGATGAAGGTGGGGACAGTTGTCCAGGGGATTTCTGAAAACAGGGTGGTCCATAGGAGAGTTTTCTAAAGAGACTCTCCTAGGGCTGCAGGTGTACTGGAGGATGGGGCTGGAAAGTGGTGGGCAAAGTTAGATACGAGCCCTCTGTACACTTTACCTGGGGAAATTGCCTGTAAATACGCTTAAATCTCTTTCTATTACCAGGTGCCAAAAACAGAACGAAAAAAGAGAAGGAAAAAGGAAGCGGATGTGGTGAGTTGAGCACTCTGTGCCTGCACATTAAAAAGCTAATGTCCTTGTGGCCAGAATAACAGTGATAAGAGACCTGCTCATGACGTGTCCTATGCTGAGATCTGAACATCACACTGTAATGAACATGCAGCCATGAAAGGACGTGCTAGAAAGATGGACGAGGTGGATTTGGTTTGCTTGATCAAAGGTCGCTGTAGGTTGTCCTCTGAAAACATGTCCCACATCAGGCAAGACAGTACGTGTAATGTCAGGAGTTATTATAGAAGAACTGAGAACAAAGCAGAAAGTGTTGTTCTGGGTTTCTGCATAAACTTATAGCATGTGTTTTACATCTCTAATATCAGAGATGTAGGAGATTACATCTCCTTTTTTCCTAAAGCATATGATAGTACTAGGAAGGATGCAGATGCAGAGCAAAAAGGGGCCATGGATGCATAGAAGACCTTACCATGGAGAAGTTGACCAGCCGACCTCAATCAACTGCAGTTTCTAACCTGCGAGCGTGATGGTTTGGTTCCCACACCGGCTAGATGTCTGTTTGGGTTGCCTACAGGGCTATTGGGCTGAAAAGGAAACAAAAATAGCAAGTAACAGCTAAAAGTTGGAGAGCTGACTCTGTTCATCTCCCCGTTTTGCAGCAAACTCTTCACCCATCTCCTTTTTCTCACCACCTAATCTTTTTCATTGCAGGTGGAAGAGCACAATGGTCACATTTTTAAGGCGACCCAGTACAGCATCCCCACCTACTGTGAATATTGTTCCTCCTTGATCTGGATAATGGACAGGGCTTCTGTTTGTAAATGTAAGCACGCTCTCTTTGCCCTTTTTGCATGTGCTTGTATCACAGTGATGAGTTTTGGGGCTCTGAAAGATGTTTGCTGCTGTTTCCTGCAACCCCACTCTCAAATAATTTGGGTTTTTTCACATTAGAAGAGCTTATGGGACAGATCCTAAGGGTTTCTGAAGTCAACTAGTAAGTCCATCCCAGCAGTCCTTCCAGTCCTCATGGTACGGTTAGTTTTGTGCGTGGGAGCTTTGCGTTACGTGTCTTATCCCGTAAGGTCCTATGGTCAAACCGTAAGGTCAAACCATATTTAAGTGTCACGGTAAGAAGGACAGTAGAGTCGGGTATGGCAAACGTGCCCTACAGCTTCCATCCATAGGATGCCTTTGGGTCTCGTGACGATCGCGAATTCATTTGGCTTAGCCTATTTGGCCTCCAGGCACGTGAATTTTTGGGGAGATCAGGAAAACGGAGGAGGACGACGGGAAAGGCTGATCCATCACTTTGGTTTTTCCAGCATTTCTTCGATTATGTTGAAAGTATCAACCCTGAGGTATTTCAGGCTGATGTCCAGTGCAGGAAGAATACAAATTAGGTGCTATTTCCAACTTCTTTGAGGGTATCCATGTCTGATAGCTCAGAGTGACTCATGGGTTATTTTCCGAGTTGATCTATCAGGGTTTTTTTAATGTTGCAGGGACTTAAATATGGGACCTTTAAAATTAAAGGCTTCGGGTTTTTTTTGTTTGAGTGGATCTAATATAGACTTGGCCCCTGGGAACTGCAAATTCAACATGCTTTTGACCTGCTAGTCCTGAGATGAGCTACTTAATTCGTATTAATTTGTATTTCTCCAGTGATCTGACTTTTTGGATTATTAAATACTATTTTTCTTCATTGCAGTATGTAAATATGCTTGTCACAAGAAGTGCTGTCTTAAAACCACGACCAAGTGCTCCAAAAAGGTAAATGTCTCTCATTCCTTTTCTCTCACTAAATACCTTTCAGACGGCGATCCCAAGCTCGTATTAAAAAATGTTTGCAGGCACAGAACTTGATATAATGCTGGCAATAACCCTCATTCGAGCAGGAGCTTGGACCGGAGATCCCTGGAGGTCTCTCCAACCAGCGCTTCGGTGTTTGCGTGTATTTTGGGAGTAACGCAGCAATGCATCACTATATATCTGCCCAGTCATGCAGCAGATGTTGCAGTGATGTTCCCTGCCTTGTAACCCTGCTGAATAATAGAAAGCTGTCTCGGTTTATAGCTTTTAAGGACTTGGAAATTTGGGGTTATTCTTAAATGTGGGGTTATTCTTGGAAATATGGGTTATTGTTAACCTCGCTGGTCCCTGTTCAGGCTCATAGCGCGGTCCCCAAAGAGCGGCGGCACTACAGCTGCACGAGGAAGGGTGGGTGGAGGATGCTCGAGCACTCACCGTGCTCCTTGGAGGTGAATTAAATGCTGTTTGCTGGGCTTAAGGGTATGGAGGACAGTGACTGAATGCAGCGTGTCGCCCTGGCTAACAATGAATCATCAAGATTTGGTGTTGGTTTTTTTTAAAGTTTATTTTGTGCCCAAAAAAGGATAATACAGAGGATAACAATGTGCACAAAGCTTTATCAGCTCCCTGGGAGGCTTCCTGGGGAAGAGCAGCCTCCATAATATACAGCCTCTATAATCATACAGCCTCCGTAAAGCTGGATGATTACATTTTTCCCAAGAAATAATCT